GGGATCTGACAGGCAGCACGCTGCTTTGTGATCATTCCAAAGTTCTAATAATCTCCCTCACCTTCCCTGCCTGCCGCTAATGAAAGAGAATAGGTGATTGCACCTCGGGCTATGTTCTGTGCCTAATGACTCCTCCAAAGGCAGATTTATGAAGAAAAAATTAACTTTGAATGAGGATTGAATTGGCCCTGACAGTCTGATAGACTGTGACACAGATTCTGTGGCAAAACAGACGTAGCCCTAATTGATTATCAATATTTTAAGCAAAGTGATGAAAATAAGCATTAAGTGATGAGAAAGGCAGTCTTAATACAGTAGGCAGTAACCGGGCTATGGGGAGCCTTCGGGGAGGCTGGCCTGCTTGCCATCCCTGCATTTTATCTGTCAGCTTTCACCTTCTGCTTCCCAGCACCCACTGTCCCATTCCAGCCTATTTTTCCTCGCAGGTTTATGAGCAGAATGCTAATGGCCTGGGCAGGGCTGACGCTCTCCCCTCTCTGCTGAAGTTTGTTAATATTTAACCCGTCTTGACTTGGGATGACTTGGGCTGTTCTGCACTGAGCAGAGCGTAGATTTGAGGTTTCCTCTTTCTGCTGCGCTTTCCTGCAGCCCTGTGCAGCTTTTAAGTTGTGACGAGGAACAGAAGAGAGCAGCAGAATTGCCTGGATGGTGCCAAGGGTCTGTGCCTTCATGGCCGGGTTGGTTGTACCCAGTGTCAAGACAAGGGAAGAAGATATTTGGGTTTTGCATTTTGGATAGGTTTTTCTTGAGGTGTGAACCTGCCAGAGCAGATGCAGGGCGTCCTTCCTAGGGAGAAGTGAGAAGCTGAAAACCTCCCAGACTTGCTGGGGTTGGAAAAGACAAAAAGAAGAAACGGCGCAGTCGTGGTTACAGCGAGGTGTGCGCTGTGCTGCTGCTGCATGCTGCTCCTGCCTGGGACAGTGTGGCACAGATCAACTGCTGTGAGTTCGGGGTGGAGTTTTGGGGATGTCTGCTAGCTAACTTTACTTGTCAGCATATGAATATTTAGCAGAGAGCATTGCCGCAAGCCTCGATAAATTCGATGTACTAGAGAAAAATGGCATGTAAATTAAATAAGGCCTTGTAAATTAATAATGGATTGCTGTTGTATTTTTATATGTGAGCTGACTGAATATTTTATAAGTGCAAAAATGTTTGTGTTTAAGAAAAAAAAACAGCAGTGAAAGCCTTTCTGGTCAGCATCGTGGGTTGCACAGCTGCGCTCTGGGTGCAGCATCCTCGTGTCCCTTCTGAGTCTGCCTGCCTCTCTTTCCCCACATTGAATTGTCTGGCATGTATTTATACAAGTCTGAGGAGTTGGGAAGTTCACCATTATACTGAATACATTTTTTTTTCAAAGTCTTGTGGTCTGTAGATGGTGCGTGCTCTGACAAGATCAGCTCTTACTTCTGTGTGCTTTTTAGAAGTGAAAGCAGTGACATCGCCGCATGCTGACTGTGCTGCAGGACTGGTGAGCACCCTTCAGTCTTTCCAACTGCACCTCCCAAACGTTGCCTTTTCCTGCATGTTTCTCCTGCTGCGTGTGCTGGGCAGGGTGAGGGGTTGTTTATAATAACATACACAGGGTGCTCAGCCCTGTGCCTGTGGCCTGTGAGACGTTTTGGGCAGAGCTAACTGCAGCAGGCGGTGATGTCCACGCGCTGAATCTGTACGGAGCATTGGCAGCATTGGCTTTAGCTGCTCTGAAATGGAGACTTTCTGATGCCCATCATCTATTCAGAAGGTGATTTATGTGCTAAGACCATTTGTTTCCTCTCCTCTTCTATTTTCCTGGAAAAGCTGCTTGCTGTTTTTGTTCCGTCAGCTGTAGTCTCCGAAGAGATGGTTCCAGCATTTCCTGTCAGCATAACGTCGTGCAGTCAGACTGCTTTAATGCAGACCCATTGATTTTTGCTGTGTTTTTGACATTGCTGTGGCCAGCTGAAGATGGCCCCTGGTCCTGGAGCTGCTGGTGGGGAGCACAGCACGGCAAGCAGCAAGGAGCTGGGGACTTAATGGGCTGAGAGTTTAACAGGATGCTTAATTATACTTCTTGTCAAATAATAGGGGAAATGGTTTAAGGTATTTTAGGTTTTTTTATTTGAGCATGTGGCATTAAGCAAAGCAAAGCTTGAGGCTGTGTTGGTCACGCTGTGATTTAAACTGTTGACTGATTTAGGCACAAACCATTGCCAGAGCATTGACATCAGGGGTTTGGACAGAGCCTCGCCATGGTGCCTTGACAGCTCGTTGGGTTTTTAATTTCTTTAATAGCCAAGAAGGTCCAGAGGAAACAGAAAAAAAAAAGATCAGTGGCATTGTAGCTTTATCTGGGGCTGGATGAGCTCTTAGATGCTGTCAGCTGGAGCTCCTCTTCGTGTGTTCATGTTATACTTTAGAGAGCTCTGTGAGCGGTCAGGTTCTGTTGTGCTGGCTGTTCTCTGTGCAGCCCACGAGCACCACTCCATCAGGGAGGTTCAGGGTGAATATTAGGGAACAGAAGGAGTGGTTGGGCAGTGGCACGGCTGGCCAGGGAGCAGTGGGGTCACTGTCCATGGAGGCACTCAGCCGTGGGGATGTGGCACTTGGGGGTGAGGTTGGAGGGCATGGCGGGGTGGGCTGGAGTTGGGTTGGGGATCACGGAGGTCTTTCCCAACCTGAGTGGTGTTATGATTCTATGGCACTGTGGTCTGCTTGGGTCAGTGAGCAGCTGCCACTGCTGTGCAGGGAGGGCAGTGGTGCAGCAGGAGGGCTTTCTGCTCCACGTACTGGCTCCTCTAATGCAGCACATTGGGCTTCACTCCGCAGCTCATGGGCTTTAGAACAAGCTGCGAGGTTCCTGCATGGTGTTTTAGTCACCGCTTGGCTCGATCCAAACAAATGCCATTTTTCCTGGTGCTTGCTGGGTGGGCGGTGATGGAAGATTCAGAGGGCTTTCGGAGGGCTGTTGGCATGGAGTTCTATCAGCCACGAGTGGCCTTGCTGACCTGGTGTGGTCGCAGTGGGCAGTGCCCATGACCTCGGAGCCTGGCTGCTCTGCATATTGATGGGCTGAGTTAACTTGTTGTTAATGAGCGATTCTGTGCAGGAAATTGTCCTCGAGGTGTTTCCTAAATGGCTCCATTGTCCACGTAATTAACTGGGAGGTGGAGGGCCATCTCTGTTCCTGCTGGCTGAAGTTGTAACTGCGTGACAAGGGTTGCACAAGGGCAAGTTCAAGTTCGTGTGTACAAGGCAGAAACGTGGTCACAGAGCAGGGCTGTGTGCGTTTTAATACTTCTGCTCAGATGACCGTTGGGGTATCCAATGAATTGCTCCCGTGCTGCAGCAAATCAGTGAGGAAGAACAAAGTCGCATCGTGGAATAGATAAATCACATCTAGGCATGGTGGGTTATTGAATCTAAATTGTGCCCAGTTGGCCCACAAGCGATATAAGCCATCCATCTTGTGCTGATAATGGAGGTTCTTGAAATCCACCTGATGTTTGCATTATTAAATTTCAGCCTAATGAGCTCTGCTAATACATATTGAAGGCAGTAGCGAGGAGCAGAACGGGAATCCGAGCGGGATAATTTGAAAGAAACATAAGCTGAGCATTTTACATGACTCAAGGGGTATATCTACAATTACGCATATAACCAAAATTGAATTTAAATGGAATTTCTATTATCCTCGTCCTTTTACCAGGGAAAATAAAGTGTAAATGAAGTAAAAGTCTTTCGAGTTGCTAGCAGTTTGTTTTTATTACCTGATTTAATAGATCCTCGTAACGATTTTCAGAGGCAGACAAGTTTTAATGTCTCATGGCTTTACGTGCAGTCTGACTACGTGCAAAGGCACGTGGATGGGGGCAGTGTCCGTGTGGAACCGCACTGCTGTGACACTGCTGTAAGCCGTGCTGCAGGGAGCTGCTGCCTGGGGGGGATGTTGGGGCTGCATGGCCTCAACCACTGCTGCTGAGCTCAGCTCTGCATCCTGATGTTCTGGGTGATGCAGCGGCGGGGCCGAGTGCTTGCTGACCTGAGCAAGCAATTGCTGCTTGTGCTGCAGCACACAGTGGGTTTGGTTTGGTGCGTGCAGAGGCCTGCTCTGAGCCCAGAATTCTGCTTCCTCCTTGTCTTTATTGTGACACGGTGATACTTTTTAAAACTTAATATTTCATCGCATGTAATGCTATTAGAGACTTCTTCTCACTTAGTTCACTCATCAGGCAGTGAGATGGCAATAAAAGAGAATGGCTCCTTTGAGACATTAATGCTTTGGAATAAATGATGTGCTAGAACAGAAATTTAATTAATTTACAGAGTATATTGATAGTCCCTTGTTACTGTGCTGTATATTTTTAATCTTCTTTAACATCTGTAGTAGAGCGTTTGAAAACCCCTGCAGTTGAGCAACTAGTAGATAATTAAGTAATAAGCGAAGAGGTTTCTGGAGAGAAAGAGACTCTTTTTAAAGAATGCTGTCAGAGCATGAATAAAGTACTGTGCTGCAGGGAGAGTGGTGCTCGGCATCACTTAGTGCCAAGTCAGAGCTATTGGGCTCTGACTGTAAATGCTCTCTGCAACTCTGCATCCCTGAAAATCCTGCCTTGTTTCTGCCTTCTCCTCAATAGAGGCCCCGTGGTTCGCTCACCGTGGCAGCAAATCCTCCTCAAAAACATCCTCCTCAAAACGCACTGCGTGGGCACAGCCAGGGTCAGGAGCAGCACTTCAATGCCCTGCTGTGAGAAATGAGTGCACAGATTGGTGCTGGAGTGACAAAGCAGAAGTTGCCCCCCGTGCTGCTGCTGTAACTGTAGGGATAAGTTGTAAGAAAGTACCCTAAGAACCAAATTCCGTTCTTTCACACGCATTGACTTCATGGTGGGACCTGCAGAAACAAATCCGAAATTGGGTTTATCTCCTTATGAAATATTTGGTGACATGCATTAACTAATTACTGATATATTTTTTTTCTGTTGTTTTTTCTTTTTTAGCTAAAGCAGATGAAGCCTTAAAGGCTAAAGAGAGATGTGAAGAAGAAGCGAAGAAGAGGAAGGAAGAAGGTAATGCATTGTTTTCTTCAGTAAGAAACTAAAGCATCGTCTGTCAAAACCATCATTTTTAAGAGGGAGGTTCCAGTCAGGTTCTGTATTTCAAAACTCAGATGTGGTCTCTGTTACAAATTCATGCAATTAATTCCCTTTGTCTGTTACTTTTGGTAAATAGTTGAATGATTTGTGTTGCATTATCAGGTAGTCCCACAGGCACCAGCACAGCACACACTGCATGCTTAGGAAACAGCCCAGGCTGGTGCTCCTGGCTGGGGATGGAGCAGCTGCCATTGCCCTTCCAGCTCTGTGCTGATCCAGTGACGTGGCAGTGCCTTTCTGAGGTGGCAGCTGGTGCTGAGCGATGTGCTGAGCACCTATGGGACCCAAACTTCAGTCAATTCAGCACCATTTTGCTCAGACAAAGTTCCTGGTAACGGCAGGCATATTTTGTTGCTGCAGGTCCTGCATAGGTTTAGGTAAAATGCTCAGGTCTAATAGAGTATCTGGTACCTGGAGCCCCTGCTGCACTTGGCAAAAGTAAACATAGAAGGTAATTACCTTTGGGAAATGGGAACTAATCAATGGCATTTTTTTCTGTGTTTGAAAGAGGTTGGAGCTGTTCGCATTTAATAAACTTTTAGTTTAATGATGTTTAAGAAATGGTGAAATGGATGCTCAGCTTTTTTTCCCCACTTCAAAGGGCGTTGAGCAATCATTACATCTGAAGGAAGTATTTTCCTTTATGTTAATTTTGTAATTATGTTATGTGGGGTGCACTCTAAAACTTATTACAACAGGTACGGCGGTGCTCCCGGATCCACGCGTGCCCCCACGGCAGCACTGCATTCCCACCCCACAGCAGTGCATTCTGAGGGCTGCTGCTCATTAAGGCTAACAGGATGATGTAGGATAACAGGTTTGTGGACAGCTCAGCTTCAAAGCAGGTTTATTGCTGCTGCTGTCCCACTCCGCAGGTGGCCCCTGCCTTTGAAGTCTGTGGTTTCACTTGTGCTACACCAGGAGCACACAGAGCTCCCAGTACAGCTGCATAGGCAGGCACTTGTTTATGAAGGAGCTCTTTTGGTCTGTAGGACGTGGACAAATCCAGGAAAGACAGTCCTAAGCTGACAGTGGCAGTGCTTCAGCTCTGGGCTGCCCCGTGCAGCTGAGCACTTGGAGTCCTCTCCTCCTTGGGAGCATACCTACTATGGCAAGCAACCTGCTTGCAAGGTGAAGTGGCATTCCTCTGATTGGTCCTGTGGAGACTGTCAGCAGAGTGGTTGTGTGTAACTGAGTGAGATTTGGTTGTGATTTAGAAATCTGTGATGACTTTCCATAGGGAGTAAACACCAGACTGACTTTAAACAGATTGTCTTGCACTCGAAAGGCATCGCAGCATGCATGCTATTAATTTATATAAAAATACTATATACGTTATACACATACTATTTATGTATATATACACATACACACACGTAGATGCACAAATAAAACCCTGAAAAACTTGGTAGGAATTATCCAGCCCAGCTCTGCTCTGTTCTGTAACAGTCATGCAGCCTCTATCTGTTGCCTTTTGGTGGCTTTCCAGGAGGATCAGGTGGAGCAAGATGACATGAATACGTGTTGCTAACCAGTTACTAACGTAGGAATTCAGCTGAATGAACTTCTTGTGTTCCTGTGCCCTTGTGAGAGAAGTCTTGCGCTGGCTCCAGGTGGTTCAAAGTTCAAGTGATCTCTTTTTCTTACGTGCTTGCAAGATGGTCTTTGGAATATTTCTAATTGCCATCTGATCATTTAAAGGGACTGTGGATGAGAAGAACTCTTTTCTGCTGCAGTGCTCGGAAACGATGGAGGAGAAATTCCTGCAGGTTTTTTTGCAGTTCCTAACTTCTCCCTAAGTTATTCCCTGGAGATACAGAGAGCTGCACAGCAGTGCTCCTTCCTGGGGTCCCAGCGGCCCAGTGCAGCTCTGAGTCTGTACCCAAAATCTTTTTGGAACTGAGAAAAGCTGCCTGGTAGAATGTGATGTTTTACCTTAAAATACCTCACACTGGCTCTTCTGTCCTTGTGAAGGAAGCCATAACATCTGTGCAGCCCTCAGCTCTCGAGGTTCCAAGAGCAGTGCAGAAAATTTCAACCCTGTAGAACAGCGCCTCTCCACGAGGAATGGTTAAAAATTTTCTGCATGATTGTAAATATCCGTGCCTACAGAGTGGTAGTGTTTAGTTTACATGGAAAAGGTGCTCTTTGGATTTGTGGCTGTAATTAATTTCATTCACAATCAAAATATTCCAACGACTTGGTTTGGTTTGGGAATGTGAGATGCCGGAAGGTGAAGCTGAGTTAGATTTGAGTTCTCACGCACGCTGGTGGTCAGAGAGAACACGAGTCGGGGGGAGGCACCACGTCCATCATCAGTCCTCATCTGTGCTCCTCACCCAGCTACTGCTCCCCAAAGCAGGAGGGTTTATGCCCAGACAGAGGCGGGCTGGGGGCTGCCTCCCAGCTGCAGGCCGAGGTGCCGAGGTCTCCTCTGGTGCACATTTGTAGCCCCTGTGTTGGAAAAGGTGTGTGTGGTTTTCCATTGTGAGGGACTCGTTTGCTGGCAATTGTTTTACCTGCAGTAATTAGGAAGGCTGAGTAAGGGAAAGCAAAAGGAAAAATGGTCAGTTAGGGGGAAAGGAACAGTGGTAAGTTAGAGTGAAAGCAGGAGGAAAATTTATTAATACGCAACAGGAGAACTGTCCTGTGGTGCCTTTGAAAAAGTCGTGAGGCTGCTGTGTTGTTCTGACATGAATAGAGATGCGTCCTGAAGAGAAGCTCATTGAACAAAGTCTATCAATTTGTCTGCAAGGCTGGCTACTAATTAAGAACAAAATGTTTTATTTTCAGTGGAAAATGAGTAGCTTATGAAATTGCTTAACAAGTGTGTTGGCATACCAAGCCCGTGGAAGCGTCCCGTGCCACATGATCCCAACACAGCGTGGGGAGCACCAGTTCTGCGTGGCTCCATTTCTGTGCTGGGTGTGCTTTGCAGGCAGTAGGTTTCATTCTGTTGTGTTTTCTGCTTTGCAGAGAACGATTTTCTGTATTTTCGGTAAATTCATTTCTATTGCGGAAATGGAAAAGAAGTGAAAAATTCTGTGTGTCTGATCATGGAGTTCACACGGTGGTTTTGTTTCGGGCTCAATTGATCCCAGTGATTCTCTGCCTGAGAATCCTCCCTTTTACAGGTGTATCATCATCCCCGGCCCTGCGGGTGGAAATCCTATTGATGGAGTGGTGCAGATCCTGCACGGATGGGTCGCTTACAGCTGCCCTGCAGTGGGGAGCTGCTGCCTGCTGGCCCTTTCTGTCTGCTCAAGCTAGAGTTGCCTCAAATATCCCCAGATTCATCAACAAAGTGTTGTTTTGTATGAAACCAAAATGACCATCTCCCTGGTTTAGCATCCCAGAACTCTCCGTTCTATCCCTTAACATGTCGCTCTGCAGCGCAAACACGTGGGGCTGCCAGCACACCTGCAGCAGCCGCCAGCTCTGCTCTGGAGCCACGGGAAGCATCGCCACGTGCAGACCAGCAGCTGTTCCTCTGCTCATCACACTGCCTCTGCATCCCCACCCCATCACGAGGGTGTCCCAACATCACTTTTATTATAATTTTATTGCCAAATCAGGTGTGAGATTAGATGTTGGATGTTACATGTAATCTGCTCAGAAATCAAATTATGTGACCTCCAAGCCCACCACCGCACCCTCCCACTGCTTTGCTGCTCAATATGCAGCGTTCTGCTGTCATGAATACAAATAGAGGACAAATTAGAATCTACAGACAGCTGACCCGAGCTCCAGATTAGAGGCTGGGGGCTTGTGCTGCTTTCAGTGCTTTAATTACCATAGTCCCTATAGCCAGTTGAAGGACACGCGCAAAAATCATTTTTGTGACAAAAAAGCAAAGAAAGAAAGGGAAAGGCTCCCTCCTTCTCATTTGAATTTTTCAGTTTGATTGCATTTGCACTTCCATTGGAGCTATGCTAATTCGCTGCATGAAATTAGGTCTATTAATAAAGAATGCACTACTTTTGCAAGAGTATTTTCAACGGAGGGCTTTTTCTTTTTCTGCTTTGTTTTTGCTTCCTTCCTTCTGTTTGGGGCTGTCTGAACACAGCACCAGGGCCTTGAGGGCTTTTCCTTCCCAGCCCATTCAGGGAACTGAGATGTGCGATGAGAGCAATGCTGTGGGAGGGGGGCTCATCCCTGGAGCAGTCATCCCAGCACGTGGCACCACGTCCCCACGCGGCTTCGGGATCAGCTGTGTGAGAGCATCGTGCAGAACAGCATTTAGAAGATGATGCCCGGGTGAAACACAGGTTCCATAGAGCACGTCCTGCAATTGCAAGGAGGAGGAGGCCCTGCGAGGTGCTGAGAACAAGCCCAGGTTGTATACATGCAGCTGAGCAAGGTTTGTTCCTTTGGAATCAATCCATCAATCAGTGTGGCTGTGCTGCCTGCTCTGGGGCTGGTGCTATCCCCACGCCTTCAATCCCCAATTTGCATTTTGTGTTTCTCATGCGTGCTGGCCCAGTGTTGAATTGATTAGTTATGCCTAGCTGGTAAGCAGGGAAACATTTTTATATACTCTGGGGAAATAAATTTGGCAGAAAATCAGCATGAGTAGATTTAATTATCACTCGGAGACCTTTCCCTTTTCTGGCTTAGTGATCCTGAAACTCTGTGTTTCACTGAAATCTGTGTGGACGCTAAGCTTCGCTTCCCAATTTGTTCCTCCGCGCAATGATAAGCCAAGCAATTACTGGTTTATTGATTTTTCATCATGGCAAATTTAAAGTTGATTTTTTCCTGAAAAGGCAGGGGTGATTAAGTGTTTCCCCTCGGTTTAGTACAAGAGAGCTATGTGGCAGAATCTAATATCCTGAGGTCAACCTCCGCAGGCAGATAATACGGTGTCTCGGCCACGTGTTAAGGAGAGGAATCGGGGCTACAAATGTGATAGG